CGGGGAAGGCCCAGCCTCGCTGTTAACGCTCACCTGTTGCCTCCCCTCCGCCCCAACTCTGTCTTGAGGGAACCGAGTTACTGTCTCACAGGTCTAGCGGGTCAGGGCCTCTTCGGGGGCTAAGCGGTCGCCGCATCTGAGGCCTTGACTGGCTGGTCAAGGCGGCTTCCTCCTGGTGGTGAGCGGATGGCATCGGGGCCACATGGGCACCTCACAGCGTGGCCACTGCCCCGCCCCCGCCCCACGCTGTGTGGGCCAAGAAGCCCGCTAGAGGCCCTGTGGCTCTTAAGACCTAACCCCGGAACTCACACACCCTGTCGCAGCAACACCCCAGTGTCCGCAGGGTCGGGGGACCCCACGCGCAGGAACGGCCCTGCCAGTGCCCCCATGAGCTCGGAGCCGGCTCGGCCACGCCGCCTTGCTGAGGAGGCACCTTTGGTCGATCCCGGCACTTCCCACCTGCTCTGCGGCGTGGCGAGAGCGTCACGACATGGGAGCATTCTGGGGTGCTTTCTGCCACCTGTGCGTGGCAACTGGTGCTTCATTTACACCATGGTGCAGATCCTCGGGTCCCCCTTAGCCCGTCTTCTCCAAAGGGGTGTTATCCAAAGCAAGCCGGGAGGCCCATGGAATCGCCCAAAGAGCAGATTGGGGATGAGCGGAGAGAGAGCAGCTTGAGGAAGCCCAGGTGGAGAGGAAGGGCGTGCCATTGGGGAGCTCTGATGGCAGGAACATGGGCTTCGGGCTGGGCAAGGTGAGGGACGAGGCTGGACAAGGGAGCAGATCAGAAGGGCCTTGTAGGCGGCGAGCGGGACTCGGGGCTGCCCTGAAGTCATCCCCCTTCGATGGCCAGTGTTAGCCAGGAAGAATGACAGGGTCAAGGGTGTCCCTTCGAGTCTAGAGTGTAAGAAAAATCACTCAGGGCAGAATAGACTTTAGGGGGTGCATTACAAAGAGGCAGACAGAGCAGGGAAGAAACCTTGGGGTTCCCAGGAGGTGATGCAGGAGGTGAAGGAGCAAGGCTGGCTGCTCACACAGGTGGGTGGGTCAGAGGTTGTTTAGGAGGGAAAAGGCGGCCGTGGAAGGTGAGGACCATGGGGGTGGAGGGTGTGTCCTGGTCACAGCTCAGCAGGTGTCTGAGGCTGCCAGTGTGCAGCACCCTTGCCGGCCCCTGCGCTGGCCCCTGGCATCACGGGGCCCGTGTAGAAGGGCAGGAGCCGGTCTCCTAGGTGTGTCGCACACCCTTCCCATCGCTCTGGTAGTGCCGGGCAGGCGGAGGGAGCCTCTGTATCGGTAGAGACCGGATGGGGAGCTTCTCAGAGCCACGGAGAGGGCGAGAGGAGGCCCGATGGGCGAGTGCCTCAGAGCCCTAGATTCAGCTGGCCACGGTTCAAACCCTACCTCTGCCGATTCCTAGCTGTGCCCGCTGGGGCAAACCGCATGACCTCTGTGCAGTTTCCTCCTCCTCAAGACGATGCCCAAGGGTGGTGTGGGCATGACGCACTGAGTTCGCGCCTGCCGACGGCTCGGCGTGTCTGTACGCTCCATCCATGCCTCACTTGGCCTCCCCACCGGTGCCTGGGACACCTGGGAGTCCAAATTCTCAACTGCTGGGAAGCGGCCGGCGGTCGAGGTGACCGGCAGGTAGTAGAGGCGACCCCAGGGCCGTAGAGGCAGGAGCGTCCATGTGAGATGCCCACGTTGTTCAGCACCCCCAGTGCTGAACCTGTTGTCGGGGGCTGCAGTAAGCAGAAATACCTGCGTTTCTTATTTATGAGGCTGTCGGAGGCAAGAGTCTAATAAAAGACTTCCCGTGATTCAAGGTCGCCCTGGGCCCCGCTCCACGGCCACCTGGACGCCTCCTGTTTGCTTTGATTCCGCTGCTCTCGCTTTTTCCTCACATGCTGGCACACTCCCACACATGCTGGCTCTATTTTTGGGAGTCTTCGTGGATAATTTAGTGCGCGGAAGCTTCCCACCCACCCGCCTGGAGCACCCCTCCAGAAAAAGGGAGAGTGCTCGAGAGAGAAGTGAAAAACAGTGGGTGGTTCAGTTCAAAAGGACAAAATATTTCTTGCCCTGGCACTGGGGGAGGAAAGAAGTCGTCTGAGGAGCCCAAGAACGGCTAAACTAAGAAGCCAAACGCTGCAGGCCGTGAGGGCAAATTAGGTGACTCAGCTGCGAGCCCCTCACCCCCGCCCCCCGCCGGTTCTCAGCACTAATGTGCTTTAAAAGGGAAAAATGCTTAACTCTGACAAAGAGCGGGCTCTATAAAAACGTGGCTAATGCGGCTTGCGCCCAGTTCCAAAGGCCCCCCTCCGCAGCGCCAGGCACCTGTGGAGATGGGGACCCGCTCCGAGGCCTGAGCCTGGGTGGGACGGAGTCTAAAATTATCCCCGATAATGAGTCTGGCAGAGGAGGGCCGGCATTCTCGTTTCCTGCCTGGCTCCCGGCCTCCAAGGCCTCGGCTCCCGGGGAGGCCTCCGGGAGGCAGGGCGGCCGGGCCAGGAGCACGGGCTTGGGGGGCAGACAGCAGAACGGGGTTCAGATCTGGGCTGGCCGTGTGAACAGACGCGCGCGTCCTCAGTTTGCTCATCTGTGAGCAGGGCTCCCGGCCTCCGGCGCCAGGGGGACGTGCGCTAGATCTGGCAGAGAGGAGGCTTCACGTCCTGGCAGAGCAGGGCGTTGCTTCACGACGGAGAGCCTGGGCAGGACGGCGGCCCTGGCTCTCTCTACCCGCACCCTGACCGTGGGAGGCGTTTCAACGGCTATTTGAAGCGTTCTGTTCTCTGCCGCTTACTCTCAGTCTCACTCCTCACATCACTCCGAAGGGCTCAGGAGCGCCCCTCTGCACACAGCGGGTGAGGCGCCCTGGCTGAGCCCCGAGGTCTCCAGTCCAGCACGCCAAGAGAACGTCCTCAGGGACGCATGTGCAGTTCTGTGCAGCCGAGCTCAGGCAGGTGGCTGCCAGGAGTCCCGGGTGGCTTTTGAGCCCTTGCATTGTGGCTCCTACAACCAAAGACCTGGTTTTGACATTTTTTATTTAATTCTTCATTTATATTTTAACCACCACCTGGGCCAGCGGGGCCGCCTGGGCCAGCTCATTGCTGACCCTTCCTGGGTCGTGTGTTACTGTGTAGGAGGTCCAGAGCAGGAATTTCGACATGACCCGAGCTCAGGGCCTGGTGCGCAGTGGGTGCGAGTTAGGGGTGGCTGTCTGTAGTATTGGAGTTGGGGGGCTGCTTTCAGGGGCCCATCTGGAGGCTCCCTGCAGCCAGGGCCGCACCAGCTGGCCCAGGCCAGGCCTCACCCGTGCCCATTGCTCAGCTGGCCCTAGACTGCAGTTTTAAAAGCAAAAGGCCCGTCTTTTGGAAGCCATCTCAGTCTTGGGCTACCCAGGCGGGGTCACCCGTTCTGGCCTCAGATGCTGGGGTGCAGAGTGTGCAGGGGGTGGGACTACGCAGCGGGCTTCCTGAAGAGAATCCTCTCGGCGACCTTCCAGGCTGCCCTCTGGGCCTGCCACATAATCAGTGGGCCAGCCGCCACCCTCCGTTTTGGCTGCCTCAGTTTCCCTTTGGAAGGCGAGGGAGGAGGATTCCTGCTTGTGGAGTGGCTGCAGAGAGTTCAAGGTAAGGTAGTGCCAGGCTCCGGGCGCATGGGGTGAGGGGGGCACTCCTGGCTGCTCTTTGGGGCAACAGCATTCTTTAAGTCCTTCTGTAGAGGCCTTCTGGGGGAGGCCGGTCCGGTCCTCTGGTGGGCAGGTGGCTTGTCTCGGTGACCTTTCATGGGGTGCCTTGGCAGGAGGGGCCGCGTCTGAGTGCCCCATGAGCCTGCTCTGGGCTCAGGCCTGGACTACAGAGTGGTCCAGGGAAGGTGCCAGCTTCAAGCAGGCCTTTTAAAGTTCAAGTTCACTGTTGAGATGGGGGTGGGGGAGGGGACCATGAGTCACCAGCCTTGGTGCCACAGGGACATTTATCAGGGCCCCCCACAGGATTGAAATGACCGTTTTCAGGGCTGGGTTGACCTGGGGGCCCAGAATCTCAGGGCCTGTCTGCAGGCAAGGAGGCAAGAGGAGGCCACGGGCAGAAGAGCATCTTGATCTGGGGGTCCCCTCCCTGCCCACCTTCCCACAGCCCACTGGTGGGAGCCACGCGTGGCACCCTCCACGCCAGGGAGTTCCTGACCTCCCTTCCCTTTATTTTCCTGTTTACTCAGAGCACGTGTAAACACAGGGGTTGCCTGGTTTCTCCGACTTCAGCCGGTTCATTATCGCTGGAGTCTGAGCATCACTGGAAACCTCGGGTTTTCTAAATGAATCTAAAAATAAACTCTTTGAAAAAAAATAGCTTGGAGTTGGAGAGTTGACACAAGGCACCGTTATTTATTTCTTTTCCTCCTCCTCCTCCCTCCCCTCCCCCTCCTTCTTCCTCCCCCCCAGCCCCCAGCACTAGAAGTCCCGAGGGACTGGGAGGGGCCACAGGTCAATGTCCAGGGGCCTGGCCACCTGGGGACGTGGGTCTGAGCCCTGGACCGCTTTCTTGGGAGGCATCCTCTGGGAAAATGGGGGCCTGGGGAGTCTGGAGCGTGATTTATTAAAAGCCGCTGCGCGGGGGGGAGAGGGGGGCGGTGGCCAGATCGGTGCGGTGCGAACAGGCGGCAGGAGCCCCGGCGAGGCCGCCTGGGACGCGCGCGCCCCCACCCCACCCCCTGCTCCTGGCCGCGGCCGCCTGCTCCCTCTCCCTCTCCCCGGCCTTTCTGCCGAACAATCAGGGACTTGTGCTGGCGGCCGAGGGAGCCACGGAGCTGGCTGGCCGCGGAGGAGGCGACGTCATGGATTCCTGAGTGTGAAGTTTGCAGGAAAGCCCTTAGTTTTGGAGATGGACGGGATCCAGTGGTTTCCATGGCGCTGGATAAACAGGAGGAAACAGTGAGGGAATCCCGTTATTTTACTGCATTGAAAGCCTATAAACACGGAGCGCGGGGAAGGAAGTCGCGTTCCCTCTCGAGTAAGCCCGAGCGCTCAGCCGCGCCGACTCCGCCGCGCCGGGAGCCCCGAGCCGGGAGGCGGGAGGCGCGCAGCTCCCGGCCGCTCGCAGGCGCCTGGGCCAGGGCCGCCCCGCGAGCATGCTCTAGAGAGGACGGCGCCCCGCGGCTTCGGGTCTCCGAACGCAGACCCTGTCCCAGCGCGCCGCGCCCCGTGCCCTCCAGATGCAGAGAGAGGCTGCGTTCGGACTGGGGCTCTGCCACCCCCTCCGCGTCATGGGGTCTGTGGACCAAGGTAACTGCCTCGCCCTGGATTCCGGCCGGTTCCTCCTCCGCCTCCCGGCTCTCCCTTCGCGCTTTCAGCTGCTGGCGGAGTCGCGCCGCGGGGAGGCCCGGGGACTCGGGGTTCCCTGCGCGCACAGGCAGAGTGGCCAGGTCTGGAGGCGCCCGCGCCCGGCCCGGGCGGGCAGCGGCGGCGGCTTTAGCCCACTTCGCTCGCGGCCAGCGGCCAGCGGCCAGCGGCGCGTCCCCGGGCGGGACTCCCCGGGGCGAGCCTGTCCCAGAATCTTGCCCCTCGCGGGGCACCGGCAGGGCTTTCGCTACTAACCGCTGGCTGCTTAACCGTTTCGGCTTCTGACAGCAGATGCCGTCGGGGGATTGCCGCCGCTGTTATCATCTATTATTGTTATTAAGCCTTTTTCTTTTAGCCGAGCAGGCTTGACATTTTACTTGTTAAACAGTCAGGAAAGCTGCTTTTTAACAGTCCCAGCGGCAACTACTCACTTAACCACTTCTCTCCCTCTCTCGAAGTTCCGGATGGAGAGACTCCTCCAGCACCCCCCACCCAGCCCCCCAAAGTGCAGTGTACCATCAGTTTGGTTTGCGATCTGATTACTTTCCGTCTTTCTGCCTCTTCCCCCTCCTCTCGGGTTAGCGGTGAAATCATACTACTGGGGCTGGCGGGAGGAGGATAATGTGTAAGAATATGAGATGAAAACCTCGCATCTGGTTGGGATTGTGGAGGGCTTTGGCTGCTCGCTAATGAATCGGTCTTTAAACGTGGACGTGGTAAAGCGCTGTTTCTTTTCCGAGGCCAGCACGGATGGCGGAGGGCAGGCGCTGCCCAGCGGGCAGGGCTGCGAGAGTTAAGTGAAATAAATACGCGTAGGAGGAGTCAGCCTCCTGTCATAAAATCAGAGTTGAATGTAGGTTTTGTGCTCTGCGTGGCTGATTAAAGCTGGGGGGTGGGGGTGGGGGGTGCAATGACAATTTCAGTACATAAACCCAGGGGCTTTTTTTTTTTTTTTTTTTTTGCAAACCAGGAGGGCAGTCTACCTTAGGGTAGGTGAATGGTACGCTTTGCCCAGCGCCCTCAGGGACACGTATTTTCAGCTGAGTTGCATTTCTGAAAGCGAGACCCTGCCTGTGCCTCTGTGGCTTTAACTGGCCCCAGTTTGCCCTGGTCCCTGCTGGTGGTCAGGATGGCCCCGTCTTTGGCTGATACCGACGTACCTGCAGAAGGCATGCTCTCAGATGGCTGCCGGACACTGGAGCTGGGCTTCACGAAACAGTGCCGGGGTTAGGGGGTGGGGGGGACAGGGGCTCAGAAAGAGGCGCCTGGAAGGGAGGCTGGGTGTCTGTGTGAGTGTGGGACAGAAGACAAATCTCACCCTTCACTGGGGCTCTTCGCCCTGCTCCACTTCATGGACTTGCGCCGAGGGCTTGAGTTCAGCCTGTGTATTCCGTGTGCTCGCGCGAGCTCTCCCTCTCCACCCATGCTCCTGTGTGCAGGGATCGGGAGCATATTCGTGCCAGTGTGTGGTTGTGTGTGCGTGCGCGTGTGCACATGTGGAAGACGGCACCACATTGTTCCTGGTGGAACACACTTGGCATGCCATGGCCATGGGGCACACAGAATGCAATTCCAGGCATCAGAGGCAGCTGGCATGCGATGTGCCCCGCCGAGCCCTGCGCATGGGTCTCCTGAGGGAAAACAGAATGCCCCTTTGAACTGCAACACCCCTGTGAGCACAGGGCCGGGCCTGAGTGTGCAGGCCGATGGGCGAGGTCATCAAGTAGAAATATTTGCGCGGTAAGAAAATAGTAAGCTTGCTGTGCGGCTCTGGGTCGAGGCCCTGGGAAAAACTGCCGATCTGAAAGAGGTGTGTTCGGCCTTCTCGCGAGAGGGGTGGTGGAAAGTATTTCGGGAGGAAACAAGCCCAGGGTCAGCTTGTGACTCCCGGACCCCAACTCCCTGCCTTCTGCTTGGGCTGTGTTTCTACGTGGCCTCACTGCAACTGTGTGATCTCGGGTGAGTGGCTTCACCTCTTTGGGCCACATGGAAGATGGGGGGCTGTGGTCACTCTGCACAGTGGGCTGGACAGCAAGTTAACCCAGGGATGATGGGTTATCACCACAAACCATGGCCCTGGGGGAGCCAGGAGGTAGCACACAGAAAACCCTGAAAACAGAGCATTGCCGCTCCTGTTAAAGATGCAGCGCAGAACTTAGGTTGATCTAGAAACTACGATTCCTGGCAAAACCTCCTTGAGGCGTGGGGTGTTTTCTAAGTCCTCCGGGCACTTTTTACTTTCTGGAGGCTGCAGATCAGGGTGGGCGAGGCCTCAGCT